TACATTTGGCTAAAAAACTACAACCCATTTTTCAAAAAATAAAATCCATCTTCAATAATCTCAAATTGCACCATCATCTCCTTCAATGTTTTTTTAGAATTGAAGATAATCTTCTTCGTATTGCTCTAAGACCCTTGATAAGTGTATTTTGTACACTTATTTCAGCCTTTAAGTTAGAATATTTATTAATGATTTTGATGAATTATGACTTAATTCTATTTGTATTGTATTTAGTAGGTACAAATCGACATAAATGGTGGAATTGAAGAAAATTGTGAAATAGGCTATATTGTAAGGGATTCAAAGTTCATGGAATAAAGTGCAAATATTCAAAAGTATTTTGGACCTCAAGATGAAGGTTCAAGGTGTGAGCTAGGGTCAATTGGATGAGAAAAATAGTTTAATGGGTAAACTATAGTTAAAGTACTGTCACATATCAATTTTCAACCGAAAAAATTATCTTTCGGATTTTCAGTCTCAAATTGAGACTCATTTTTGGCATAACAAACATTCGAATTGAAAAAATGATATTTCTATAAGAATTATATTCATTTGAGTTAACGATCGACGATCGTGTACGCTTGCAAGTTTTGTAAGAAATATAATATGAGGATCTCCTATTTATATTGGTTTAGCAGTCTTAAAGTTTGCTTGAAATGCCCTAGAACCCTAAAAAGAAGTTTCCAAGTCTAACGAAGAAAGTTGGAATGGAGGGTGGAGCTTATAGTTGTTTTGTGAAAATCTAAGATGGCATGCAAGATTTTCTCCTCTATCTTGCAATGCCCCAAGAAATTGCAATCCGGTCCTCAAAGTCATAGATATTCTTAATCCAATCCTTTAACTTTTGAGTCTGTCCATTTATATCCTCCAACTCTTGATCATGTCCAAAGTGGTCCTTCAACTTTTGAACTATTCTCCTTTGGTCCCCCAATTTTCTTCCGTGTTGGTCCTTTAAATTTCCGAAGTGTCCGAGCAAGCTTTAAATTTGGTTCCCAAAACTCATGAAATTCTTCAATTGAACTTCCAAGGCTTCCAATCAAGTCCTCTAAATTCCTGGCAATCATGCAATCAATAGTTGATTTAACTCCAAATTAGGTTTACTTAATAATCAAAATATACACTAATAGGAACACAAATATGCTCAAACAATCAATAATGATCAAATTTAAGAGCCTAGGTAACCACGTTAAATACACTTTTCATCTACCATTTGTGACACTCATGTCGTGATATCAGACTGAAATGGTAAAATTGTCCAATTTTTTTTTCTTTATTTCAAAACATTCCAAACGGTGACTTCATTTAAAAATCCAAATAGGTTTTAAAACTATGCAGTGTTCATGAGAACTAGTCCCTTGCTTCAAACCACCTAGGTCCTAATGTGAGTATCTTGTGGCTTAATGTACAAACAAATGTATTTATTTTTTTAGATAGGAACATGAGTGAAACACTTTTAAAAGTTTGAGAACATGAGTAATGGTGGAATTTATTCTTAAATTTTTGCTTAAAAGATCGTGCTTTTTTAATGATTGTGTTTGAGTGAACTTTACATGAAGCAAATTGCATGTTTGGGAGTATATATTTATATTAGTAGATAGACAATTTCTATTCAATTTAAATAATTTATTATTCTAGTTACCTGTTTCACAAACAATATTTTTTTTCATTCTCATTCTTCTACTCATTTTTAACCACATATTCTTCAATAAAATAATATTTTCCATCACATCAGTAACTGTTTCTTCATTTTCAACCATATATTCTCCATCACACCACTTTAAAAAAATACATTTTTTCATTTTAATGTACACCAAACAGGCTCTTAAAAGTTAGGTTGGTGATAAGAATATATCAATATTTTATTACTTATTTTCTTAAAAGCACTTCCCTTTTTCAAAGTAGAAATCTTCTTTACTTCTTTCTTGACTATAATCCCAAGTCTATTTAGCCTCTCAGCATTGTATCTATGCTTTTCTAGGTCAAGTCTGGATGGCTAATCATCGATTATGGATACGTGTTCTGAAAAAAAATTGAGATATTAGTTTCCAAGTTGATTTCGTGTTTGACTAAGATCACATATTTTTATTTTGTCTCTTTCAGAAACACTAAAGGTCTGTTTGATTCAAAGATGGAATTTGGGTGGAAAGAAAACGAATGGTAGGATTGAATTGTCTAAAACTTATTTCACTGAGAATTGTCAATTAATTGTGTTTGATTGGTATAATTTTTCACCTGAAAAATATTGAAATTTTCTATCTTTTTGTGTTCGTTTGGCTTTGTTTTTTATGAAAATTGTCAATTAAATGGATAGAATTTCTTACAATTGGGAATATAAATTGTTTGGATTGCAAAAAAAAAAAGTTAATAAAAAATTGAAATTTTTTTGTGTTCGTTTGGCTTTGTTTTACATGGAAATTGTCGATTAAATAGATAATTTTATTTTTTTACAATTGGAGATAGAATTTGTATCTATTGCCCCCAAAAAAAAGACGGAATTTCAAAGGTGGGAATTGAAATTCAACTAAAACCAAGAGAAGGTGACAAAGTAGAAAATCAATTCTTGAAAAAAAAAAAAAAAGTACCATCAAACATGAGAAAAATGGGAAATAAAATTTCAATTCCATTTTTCATGGAAAAAATGGCCTATCAGACAGCCTAAGACAAGTCTTAGATAACTGCTTGACTCTTACGGTTATGTGCCTTCGTCATATTCTAAGGACTAAAAATTTCAAACTGAGTCTTAAATGGTTGATCATTTATATCTAGATTCTCAACATTGCATGTGGCATAACACATGTTAATTCCCTAAATGGTCACCAAATTTTTCTTAAAGTTTCTACGGGATCATTGAATTTAAAAACTATCCTCGTTAGTCACTTAACTTTAATAATTGGTACCTCATCCATCACTGCATAAATGACGCTTGCAAAATTGGAAGGATTTAATGACGTTAAACATGAGTCTACAATTATGTGATCGTTTTTTATTCACAAATTATCCAATTCATATTCGGATTTTTTTTTTTAATGAACGTTGAATATGTGGTTTTATTCAAATGTAGAGCTTTTCAAAATCTGAATTTCACAAACTTTATGAGCCTGATTATCACAGTTTCTAACTAATAGCATAATTTATGTAAAAATTTGATTTATAATTTCCAAGTGCATGCCACGTAAATCATACGGTTAGACATGTTATCAAATACTTCCAATTCTGCAAGCTTCATTTACGCGGTGATGAATATAATACCAATTTTCAAAGTTAAATAACTAACGGAGACAATTTTTAAGTTCAGTGACCCTGTGAGAACTTTAAGAAAAGTCTAGTAACCATTTAAGGAATTAACCCGATGTTTAACACATACCTTCTTCCCAAAAAGAGCAACCACGAGTTTGAATTTTGAATGAGATAGAGGAAGCTGCTCAATAGTTTATCACCATCGAACAATTGATTGATCATATGTTGTGTGTTGACATTGGTGTAAACTAGAGTCTAAAACGATATTTTCATAATTGAACGTTCAGTGGATTGAGCGAACAATTTGATATCATGTATTTTTACTCAATGATTGGTGACAAAGATAGTGCTTCCATTGAAAAAGAAAAAGAGAAAAAAAAAACATTATATTCAAATCCATATTATTCGTGCAAATCCTATCTCCAAAAGTTGTCTCAAAATGCATCCCTCCCGGCTCGAGAAGTTTGGTGACATTATTCATTCCACCACCCTATCTCCAAAAGTTGTCTCAATTGTCAAATTGCATCCCTCTGGCCCCCACCAACTCCCAATTAATACAAATTGTACAGTCGAGAAAGGATGTGTTTGGCACGATAAATGAATAGCTAATTCATCAACTTTTTGTAGGATTTTCTTCTCCTATGTATTAATGGAATTTAGGCCCCATTTGATATACAACATTTTCCATGTAAAATCCAACTTTTGTAGTATCTCACTCTCTCTCACACGTACACATTTCCCACCTTTTAAGTGAGTTTTCATTTTCCATTTTTTTTTTATATAATTGGGAAAAATTCTAGACCCAATGGTAAAAAAATTTATCACTTTTATTAACAATTTTCATGCAAAACAAAGCCAAACGAATTGTATTCGGTATGGTAATTTGATTTTTGATTACAAAGTTCCATATGAAATTTTGATTTTTATTACTTGCTTAACAGAAGATGAGCATTGGTGCTCGTTAGATTATTCATGTATATAAATATATCATTTGGATCATCATCACAAATTTTTTAGCCTCGATTTGACGACCAATTTATAAATGACTTATAAATTCAATCAAAATTAAATATTAATTTTAATCACACATTCATAATTATAACTCATTTATTATTTATACATTTCGTGAGAATCGCTATTATTTTTTTATAAATCATTTATATATTTACCAAATGGTTCTCTTTTTATTTATGGCCTGTTTGATCTCTTTTTTTTGAAAAATGTGCGATTAAAAAGAAAAGAGAGAAAAATACATTTTAAAAATAATAGAGATCAAACAAAGGCTTATTCTCAACTTAAAGTTACAACTATCGATATTAAAGTACAGATTTTGAATTTCTCTTATTACTCTTCACTTTTAAGCTCATGCTATCGAAAGTGCATTTATTCCATTCTTGTTAAGAAATAAAATAAAATAAAATAAAAGATTTATTTCCCACCAATCAAAAACGGGAAAACGATTTCTTTTCTACTTTTCCATTCCCAACCACCGAATATATCCTAAAGAAAAGGTACCTCTGCCAGCTCAGCAAAAAGGTTAGATATTTTACAAAGTGGGGCCCTCCAATGTTTGTTAAAACCAACTAAGAATAAGGTTGTAATAATTAAATGAAAAATACACTTCATATGACATCACAAGACATGTGCGGGTGAAGGAATGAACCAATTCACCCCTTTGAGTCTCTGACTCCTCAGTTTCAGTAGCAAAGGATTACTTCAATTTCGTAATAACAGTTTCTTGGGATTTGCTTTTGCTGATTGTTATGGTGATCAGAGCAGGTGAAGCTGTGGCGTGTGAGTACTGCGGGGATAACCAGGCAACACTCTACTGCCGGGCCGATTCCGCCAAGCTGTGTTTGTCATGTGACCACAACGTCCACTCAGCCAACGCCCTCTCCAAGAAGCATCTCCGCTCGCAGATCTGTGACAACTGCGGGTCGGAGCCCGTTTCTGTGAGGTGTGTCACCGACAACTTGGTGTTGTGCCAAGAGTGTGATTGGGATGCCCATGGTAGCTGCAATGCGTCCGCCTCGCACGACCGTGTTCCGGTCGAGGAATTTTCGGGTTGCCCGTCGGCGCTAGAGCTGGCTTCGGCCTGGGGATTGGAAATTGAGGACAAGAAACCGTCGAGTTTGACTTCGGGTTCGGACCCGGGATGGTTGGGTGGTGGGTTGTTGGAATCTTGGATGAGTAAGGATGGTTTGTCCAGCTCGGTGAATCTGCAGGATCTGATTGTGCCGAACGGTAATTCGGTAGTTTACTCAAATTGTGGTGGAGATATGATGAAGAAGGGAAGCCGTGACTGTGGGAAGCAGAAGCAGGTGATTCTGAAGCAATTACTGGAGTTATATAATCAGGAATTGGCTGATGGCGGTGGGGAGGAGGATGTTGGGCCGGGCACGCCAAGGTATCAGGGGAATAAGAGTGGGCAATACCAGGAACAACCACAAGAGAAGCAGCAGCAGCAAAATGGGAGTTTTACTTCATTGCTAATGATGCAAAAGCCCCTTAATCCGAAAGAGGAAGAGAACATGATATGGAATAGAAGCAGCACATCACATCATAGCGCACAGGTTTTTTTTTTTTTCCATAAAAAAAATTATCTTTTTTTGGTTTTTACAATTAATATTAGATTTTTCTTGTCATGTAGAATGATTTCAGACGTATTATGGTATACAAGTTGGATTAGTGCTTGATAGTTTGAGAAGATGGGATCATCTTTAGTTTGAATGACTTGATAAAGTTCATACTTAAGTTTTTGGAGGTCTATACGTAAGTAATTAGAGACTGTTCATGAAAAAGTGTACTATTATAATGTTAATGGCTTTTCTTTTGAAGGCATTTTATAGAAGAACAATACTTTTTGGAAGATATTCTTAGCATACTTTGTCATCAAATGCTGAATCAGATATGCGAGGGGACCAAAGGAACAATTGTACCCCTTCAAATTATTGTTTAACATATCACTCATCATTTTGGATTTGTTCCATCACTTTCCATACCCTTATTGCTTGAACTTAGTTTACTCTGTTTTATGTTTAGCTTTAGGAAATCCAAGGTCTGTTTTTATCTCGTCATTCTGAGTTTGCATTTTGCACTGTTCCACATAGGTTGTCAACGTGATTCTATACAAAAATTAAGAAAATAAATGCCAATAGCATACTCATAGAACTGTAGATTCTCATCGTTGTTTTCCCCTCTATTCTTACCTTCATATGTGCGTTTTGCAGATATGGGATTTTAATTTGGGGCAATTGAGAGGCCAAGAGGATTCTAGTGCGCTAGAATTGGATTACGGTGCAAGTGACCAATACATGGTGCAAAATTATGGAAAACTACTAAAAGGTGCTTCCTTGGCAACTAGACGAGGAGTAGCATTCCCTGGAGTAAACTTTCCAATTGCACATGAGAATGCCATACCGTTTAATGTAAGTTGTTCGTCTGTGGAAATCTCTGATTCTCAAGTTTTTTCTCATTAGATTCATTGCTGATTATTTCGTGCAACTTTATAACAGTATAAGAAAATCTTTGGCTCTGTCTAGTTTGGAGAGACAATGACAACTGCCAATGTCTTTATGCCGTCTTTGACTCTAAATATCAGCTTAGTTACTTTTCTTACCATCTTTATTTACTCATTATTTAGAATTTTCATTCAAACCTGCAATCAATGAGAGGACAGAATAATCAAATGTTAAATTACATTGATTGTTATTTATAACTACATAGTATTTTAGCTACTTTTCAGAAACTTGTAAAACAAAATTAAACAGATGAAATCAATGCAATTATAGTTTCATAAAACTTTTGGATCATGATAAATATACTAGAAAAGTGGAATTAAAGGGGAAAAAAAAATCATTGAAGGGATAAGGACATGCTCGTGATAAAACCTCCATTCAGTCATTTTTGGATCAACCCTTCACTCTGCAAAGAACAACTCCACTCAATTATCCCCGTGTCAAGCCTTTACTCAAGAAAAGAAAAGCCCTAACTATTTTTAGTACTCTCGGAATTTACTTGTCAAATGAGCTGCACTACTTGGACCTGATTACGGGTGCACTTGTGGGTATGTGTCCATAGATTAATGAAATAATGGTAGACAAATAGGGGCTAAATTCATGTCCTCATGATACCTCAATATTTATGGTACATGGCCAACATCAAAACATGAACATTTTTACTTATTTATTCTTATGATAAATGATGCCTAACATCATTTAAACTTTACAAATTCACAATTCACGTATATCTGAAGTGGGCATGGAAGGAGTTAAGTGGCATCAATATGATTTAAACTCATGATCAATCCAAATAGTCGCAAACTTCAACACATACCCTTGTTCGGGTTTTTATGTCCAACATGGGTTGTTGATGCATTTAAATTAATATATGAAAGAGATATAGTGAAGGCTGACATTTCCTTGTTTTGGATTCTCTACTCTGTCATATAATATCATCTGGAGCTAAAAATGTGATGTACATTGTCGAACTGTAGAGTACCTCAAAATCGTGTTCAGGTTTAGCTATGCCCAATTGCTCTGGTGGCTCAAAAGACATCCATTTCGTAGATCATTCTGTTTTGGGGAAAAACGAAAGCACGACAGCAGCAATAATCAAAACTGATATGGAGCTTCTGGCAAAGAACAGAGGCAAGGCTATGCAACGTTACAAGGAAAAGAAGAAAACCCGGAGGTACCTATTTACTTTTATTTTTCCTTTCAGCATATTTCATGCCTACATTTTTTTCCCTAATGGAGTTCCACTGTGCTTTATCTGATAATGATGTCGTTTTGTAACCAGATATGATAAGCATATACGGTATGAATCAAGGAAAGAAAGAGCTGATACAAGGAAACGATTCAAAGGTCGATTTGTGAAGGCTAGTGAAGCTCCAGATGGATAGGCAAATGAATATCTACAATTCCGTTATCACATCACTTGCTTTGCTTGTATGTATAACTTTGTATAGCCACGTGATCTCATCCAAAGAAGCTGTGTGATTTTCCCTAGTGCTCTCTGTGCGGTTATGCGCATATAATTGCATGCACACATGACCCCATGCTATGCGACGATCTTATCATGTCAACGGGTAGGATGATGGCGTTCTGTATCAGAATTATGTGAGCCCTTAATGATTTCTTGAAACGACTTAACTTGTTCACATCCTAAGCTGATCCAAACAACAAATTCGATGATCTCTTTGAAATTGAGAATCTCTCACTGCCTATCTTTTTCCCTTTTCTTTATCACGATTTATTATAATTTCCCCTTGAACGAATTTCTGTAATAGATTAAGTTGTCGGGGAGGGGACGATTTTATTAGTTTAAATTGTCTTCAATACGGGTTTTGCATCATGGGGCTGCTTGGCATTCCATAAAGAATCACCTTTCTTGATGCATTGATTGAATACTTGAGGAGCAAGTGGCAATTTATAGTACTTAATCAAGTGGGGGCAGTGTCATTAATGTAGGATTGGCATTCACGAGAAATCTATTGTTAGATTTACTACCATATGTCCGAATCTGTATTTACTGTGGATCACATTATATACTACGTTCTTGAGGAGAAGGGTTTAAATAAAATGATTCAACCAGCCAGATCCCTGTACAAGCCAACTTCAATTTCATGTCGAATTTACTGAGTTTGGAGAGAGTTATGCCACATTACCAAATTGATTTTACCGGAATTGTGACGAATTAGCACTTGGCAATATTTCATTGGTAGTTGGGCCAAAAACATTTTCCAACCATTTAATCACAACAATAAAGCTGTTTGTACAGCTTTTAAATGCTGTACAATGTACAGCTCTCTCACATAATGTGGGTCCCGCGATCGCGGGCCCCACTCTTCATGTAAGATGGTTGTAAGGTATGTTGTACATATAGCAAGTTTGTTAATCACAATTTGCCAACTCATTCTGACAATCTGATTGTAAAATAATATGTATAAATGGCATAACTCCTTTGATGATCATGGACCCCATTTTCTAAGGCATATCTTCTTGTAGATAGCTTGTGTCAAGTTTAAAATTTGGAGTTTTAACCTAGCCATCAAAGCACTCAACAAACAAAACAAGCCTTTTAAGTATTTTGAATTTTTCAAGTTGTAGTTAAGGCACTTGTGAAAATCTCTTCTCTCATCATGTGAGCGCTTTTAAAGTTATACAACAAAAACTCACACCGTTCACCATTGATTCCATCGATACTCTTTCTTTCCTCACAATTTGATGTGCCTTATGCACTGGATTCAAAACTTTAAAAAAAAAATATTCATCTAATGATTCTTGAATCAGCACTTGAAAATGGACGTGCCCTCGTTTCTCCTTAAGAATGCTCTAGGATCCAGGATGAAGAAAAGCTTCAGAAAGTTATGCAATGGAGATGGCTCTACCTCGACCCTCAACCAGCAAACGGTCGATCATAATGGCTCCTCTTATGCGGTGGCTAAATCACCGATAAGGGAAAGCCAACTGACTTTGGAGGAAATGATTTTACAATTAGAATTGGAAGAGAAGATGGCTAGGATAGCAAAACTTGATGAAGGTAATGGTATCCAGCACCACCGGATGTCATGTGTCGATAGTTCTGATATCCTAAGAACTGCAAGGAACGCGTTAAATCAGTACCCTCGATTTTCTCTGGATGGAAGAGATTCCATGTATCAATCTTCATTTAGAAACTTGGCCACTATCAACACAAGGTTAGGTGATCTAGCAGCAGAGAGAACTCGAAGATTGCCTGCAATTATAGGTGGAGAGAGCGTGATCTGGTGTAAACCGGGGGTAGTGGCTAAATTGATGGGTCTTGAGGCCATGCCAATTCCAGTAAACAGCAGAACCCACAGGAGAGAGAGACTTGGCAGCATCATAAAGAAGCAAAATCTGAGGAGAGCTGGAAGACAAGAAATTGAAAGGAGGTTTGTGAATGATGCAAATGCTTGTTTTGGCACGAGGAGAGGGATATCGACAGGCTCTTGTTCAAAAACGGGAAGATACTGTGTAATGAAGCCGATAGCTGGGGCGCCTCTAAATGGTGAAGTAGGCTGGCCAATGCGGCATTTTGCCAAGAACATCTAAGCTTTTTGTGAGATCATTTTCTTGAATTGGATCAGATTGTAGCCAAGGAGAACAAAAGATGTTAAATTGTTACGCTATTTCTTGTTACACTTCTACTTGTTATACCTAGGACTTATCATCCCCACAAAGTAAAACTGAATCCAAAAGAAAACATCCCAGCAAAATCTATGATTTCATATGCAAAATAAATCATTATTTTGAGGTGTCTAACTAAATTTGCTGCTTATAAATATTTATTGAATTTGTGGAAGATAGAGATTTCTTGAATGTCTTGATAAATTTCTCTACTGTTCTACCTGCAAATAAGCATATTTTTTAATTATTTTGATGGTTATTAAATACTCTTTAAATTCACCATCTGCATCAACTCTTTTTAAGTTCTAATTCAACTACCTGCATTAGTTTTCATTGTTAAAACTATTCCTCAACTAAACTTTTCAACCAGTCAATTACAGACTTATTTCGACCTTGAAGGAAAACAGATTTTCTAGATTGTTGAACTGAAAATTCCAGTAGGCTGAATGTTACTTAAATTTGGTAGTTGTGTGTGTCTGTGTCCGTGTCTGTGCACATAAATACATTTTACAGCATGAACAAATTGATGGGGTCAATTCCATATGATCCAGGACAACTGAAGAGAACTTGTAACCTGGGATCTTCACCATAATAACTCAGTGGACCCTTCACTCCATATTACTTTGATTCGTGAAGTCTCAAAAGTGTATTAACTTAGTTACAATCATAGGTCTGCAAATAGAGTCAACAATGAATCAATAAAACAAATTTCTGACCAATTGATTCCTGTTAAATCTGTACAGAAACATTTCAAACAAGGATTTCTGTCGTGTGGTACAATTCCAATGTCGGGCTCCTTTTCTAACTTCTATTCCCTTTGTTGTCAAGAGTAAAATGCGATCTAATGTTATTAGTCATGTAATCTTGTCACAGAAAATTTTGGAATTAAGTTTCAAAATTGGCCTTTACATCATGGAAAACAATACAAAATTGCTAATACAATGTAGCATCAGATAGCAAATTTAACATACTGTAGACTGAATATTTAACTAACCAGCGCGTTTAATCATAACAAATAAAAAGATTGACAGAAGTGCCTTGGATGACAAGCGAGTTCATCAATTACCTCACAGTTTACTTGCATTTACATTATATACGATGTAGGGTTGCTGCTGGTTGATACATAGGGCAGTGAAATGGGTGTTAATGGAGGTGAAGAAATTCCTCCAGTCAACTTCAAATTTTGAGAAGCTTCTAAAGGTATGTGCGATGTCGATTCTTTTCGACCTCCAGTGGGAATAGAATAACTGCGAGAAATAGTCTGTGGCAGCATTGAAAGTGCAGATGTTGCTGAAGACATTGCTGGTATGCTTGCGGCAGGTAGCTCACGACCTTTTGATAGCAAAGGCCCTGTATGAGACATGCGATTGGAGAGCTTTTTAGAAGCTAAATGAGCTGGGGGTAGAGGCAGCTCATGAAGTTCGTTTATTATAGGCGGTGACAGGAAAGTAGGTGAAAAATGTGATGATAATTTGGGCATTGACATTGGCGGAGGTTGTGGAGTGCGCAATACAGACCCAGAAAATGGCAGAGGGTATTTTGCTGAATGACCACTGGCAGATAAATTTGAGTTCTTCGGCCAGGGCTTGCCTGTTATTGGATCAGAGAAATTTTGTCTTTTGACTTTTCTAGTATCAATCGCAACATTTGGATCAAACTGTTTCAATGAGAAGCCATCTGACAGTGAAGGGGGCAACCGACTGCTTTTTGTATTGTAATTGCTCTCTTTGAGCACCTGTTTTGCATCTAAGATGATAGGTCCTGAAGTTTTCTCATTTGCTACTAGTTTTTCATATATATTCTGGTTCAGAGGAGATGAATGCCATAAGTTATGGCTTGCTTGTTTCTTTTGTGACAATTCAGCATCTGCTTTCCCAGAACCAAGACTCTGCACCTCAACTGGTGTGGGTAGAACATATGATGTAAACCTGCGTGATGGTGAAGGCACCATCTGTCTTGGCCGCCCAGCTGGATCAAGTTTCTTCTCACGAAAGAGAGGTGCTGATTGGCTGATCGTTGTAGTCTCTTTGCGGAGGGCAAAAGAGCTTCGACCAGTACTTCTTTCCAAATTTTCCTGAAACAAGTGCAATAAGGGCATATTGATAAGTGTGGCTCAATATTCTCATAGAGGCACCAGAGATCACATAGTCAGCAGCATAAGAGTTTGATTGGATACCCCTAAAACAACATCAACCTCTTTCAATATGCAGCAAATGGAAATCATAGCTAACAGCAAATGAACCAATTCTTTATAAGGAAACTCAGCTACACGTGTGTGTATAGTATGCCAAGTTCATGTGTCAATAGACACCATTGGATACGCAAAACCTTTTTTGCACAGATTCAGGCTGTAAATTATGCAACCTTTCAATCCATTCAGGATGTTTCGTGGTGCTTTCTTCCCATTCAAGACCTTATATAAAAATGGCCTCAAGTCCATTCATGATATTCCTCATAGTCATATTCATTTCTCTTTTGAGCCCGAACCCTTAAATAGTTTTTGAAAGCTACAACTTCGTTTACTTCACTATACTACCGCATACCCTTTCAAGATGTCCTTGTTCGTTGGATAGTATGCAATAATGAATTACAGTAAGGTGTCTGCAAGACTGTCCCCATAAACAGGGTATAGGAAAACATTTCTTAAATAACTTGCCATGACAAATGTCAGCCATCCAGGGGCATCAACCATGGAACAGTAAAATTTCCGGTTGATTTATTCGGGTGCTCTAGGTCACTATGTACTTCATCTGACCTAAAAATTTGAATTACTTAACTAGATGAATTATAATAATGGATATGTTGGCTTATCAAGTTCAAAATATACTCTCCATTGAATTGTTAGCGTCCTACTTTCCATTTTAGGATGTCACAGTATTAAATCAAACTACGTTTTCTCAAGCACAACCTTAATGAAAAGGCAAGTTGAAAGTGGGTAAAAGATAAAGGCAAAGCATAAAATTTGAAATTTATACCTCAAAATAGCATGTATGAGAAGTTGGATGGGCAACTAGTATCTTTTTGGGAGAGGGGAAGGAGATTGAGCCATGTAGGATCTTTACCTTAGCTGAACCTAATTTAGTGCTGGGAGGAGATGTAGTACCCACATTATCCAACTGCAAATAAAGATATATTTATAAGTAACTGCACTTTTAAACCAAAGTGATAAATGAATTGATACACAACTATACAAGGATACATAATATGCCAGATGAGGACAAAGTTTAATTAATCATCTCCTAAGTAATCGATCACATCTAAAAGGGAAAGAAAACAATCTCCTAATAATATAATAATCTCTCCGAAAAGAATTAGAAATAATAGAAGTAGAGGAATCTAAAACTAATAGTAACAATAGAGGTCTAACATTATCATCCATTCGTCCTACATCAATACACAAGGGAGTCTTACCTCCATTGAGGTTTTAGAAACTTCTAGAACTGCACTATTTAGTCCATGGTTAAAACTCAATTCTCCATCATCATGACTTTCAAGATCATCTACGGTACCATCACCCTCGTCGTTGCCATCATCATCAACATCACCCCAGTCATCTTCAAGTCCACTAAACTGGTAATCAATATGCTGATGGTCAGCGACCATTTTGATATGTGGCTCAATTGCCTCAAGAGATTTGAGAGCCTTCTTGAAGAAGGACAACTATTATGAAGAATAAACATATTACTAAAGCTACAATACAATTGAAATAACAGGATATATAATCTCCGGTGCAATGAAGAAAAAGACCTGTGCAGCATGATGGCGAGCTGCCTGAGTTAGAAGACTGCGGGATTGTCCTTGCTTTAGCGATTTCATACGGAATACAAATGCATTAGCCTCCTCCTCATATTCATCCTGAGCTACTTGAAACTGGTGTGAAGAAAAACACTCTCCTCTGATACCTTTCAACTTCCCCTTCTCTCTATATGTCATCAGGTCCTCGTATATTTCTCTGAAAGGCATAAATTCAAATTAAAAAACATGCCCAGTAGGTTCAGAAGAAGTAATGTACGAAGGGAATGAAAAATTTTGGACCTTTTATGATCACATCGCCCCTTCATCTCCTGTATATAGGAGGGAAAAGCTCCAAGTAAAAAAGCCCAAATAAGTGTAGTACAGCTATAGACATAAAAAATGCATGCAAAGAAGCAATAATATGCTTGAACATCTCTAATAGAGTTACAAATTATAGACATTCAACGCACATATTGCAATCTAATATGAGAAACAAACATGACTAAGCATAAGTTTGCTGTGCTCAAAAATTACTTTTCTAGAAAGTGAGTTAAGACTTTGAAAATCATGTTTTGCAAAATAATTTAAAAGTAAGTTTAACATACTTTAAACACAGCCAAATATTCTGTAAGCCCAAACGAGTAGAATTGTTTAAGTTACATTAATAAATCCAGCTGATATTGTACAGCCAGGTACCTGTGAATGAAAAGAAACAATGAACGGGGAAAAAAAACTACTTTAAGCAGTCCGCTCTCGGCTAGAATCCACAAAATTAAGTTAAAAATAAAAAAATTGAAAGCTGAGGCAAAAACAATCAAAATATTTCCAACAAAGGATCGCATGCTTCTACTGATAGCAGCATGATCCAGGGCTGCTGTTGAAGGAAATTTGACAGACACGTTATCCTTTCTTACAGGCATTGAAGCTTTTCACATTCTATAAAATGCTTGCGCTAAAACTAGCAAATTACAGGACAATGATGGCACTGACCACAGCTTATTCAAACAAAAGAAAAAATCAAATTTGAAACTCATTGAACAGTCAAAATCAAATTTGAAACTCATTGAACAGTCCATGGAACCCACCTCAACTATGTGTAGCTCATTAAGAAGAGACTCTGACGGGATCGTGATTGTCTTAAATAGATTAGAGCGCTGAAATGCAGAACGCAGTATTTTAACAAATAGAGA